GGCGTCATATGCTCTTAGGAAACATTATGGCAAACGAGCATATGGAATAATATAAGAATAAGAAGGCTGCCATCATGCCACAGCCATCTTCGTATTCACCAAGGTTTTTGTACCAGGCGCAAGTTAACGTCTGCGATGATCGACTACAGTTCATAAAGTTTTGAGTTTACTCTTTCGGTCACCGGTAGGCATGTTAGCTTCGTAACAGCAAGGCCATGCTTTCGCCCTTTAAAAAACTTTGGGTAGGCATATTTTAACCTCGAGTGCTGCGCGAGCTCTTGTCTGCCTATCTGCAAACGACTATACATATATGCTTGAGCAACCGAGATTGCACATCTATTCCTGAAATTATAGCGAGAACATTCGAGATTGGATCACATTTACATGTTATCAATAAACAAGAACAAGAGAATATAGTGCATTGCGAGAACAGTAAATGCTAACACAGTGGGTGAGTTGACATATGGGAAGCATTCACTATATACTTCGCATGTGTTGTTTTCGAGGATTTATGTTTGGAATGTTAGATGATCTACCTTCTCTCAAGCAGAGAGAAAGCGCATGTGTAAGATGGAATAGTCCTAAATGAGATTCGCATTTGCAAAAAAATACAAAACCTCTCACACAGAAGAAGCCATCTGAGCGATTCGCCATCGCTAGTGCAGCAGCAGCGACGCGATGTCGGTCAATTCCAGCGATGTCGCGACGATATCCCTGCTGAAGGTATGCCCCTCCAAAAATAGCCCGCGATTCGTCGCAGCGCAATCTAACACAAACGCGGCGCGACCACACAGTTAAGCACGCCGGCGCGGCGGACTCGGAACTTATGTCCGAGCTGGAAATCGCGCCGCGATTGCAATCGCGGGAGGTATGCCTTAGGCCTAAGGAAGTAGCCAATATCTGCTCCAAGACGAAGGCGGTTGCCCGAATAGGTTTAAAGCATGCAAAACCACGCCGCCTATGACGCCGTTCAATTGCGGGCGCAAAATACCGGCATTACTGGTGTGGCTAGACGTTTACGCACAAGTTTCACCGCATTCCTACTAGTGCAAGCACACGAAATTAAGCGGAAAATTTACTCGACTTTACGTTGTCTTGCTGCCTTGCATCTACAGGGCTCCTAAATTGCAGAGTCGTTTGCACCAGCGGTCGCGCGACCGCGTCGCGCCCGGGCATCAATGGCGCCACCTCGATCGTTGGCGCCGGCAAAATGTCCGGGCGCGACGCGGTCGCGCGACCGCTGGTGCAAACGACTCTGCAATTTAGGAGCCCTGTAAATGTTCTTTGATGCACGTGCATAGGGGGGGGGGTGTCAGGTTTCTGTGCAATATATTGTTACTTCTTGTCTTCTGACATGCGGAGAATCAGATGATTGTCGCTTTTGGTTGTACTTCTGTGTTAAACAGTAGGATCGCACCAAGGCAGCTACTGACAACTAGCGAGGGGGGACTATTGACTAGGTCCCACCAACAGAACTGTTCCAGCACAGTTCGAGTCTATGTGGGAACTGTTGCGGAACTTACGGATCAGTATGGCCCGACCATAAGTCGCCGAAAAGAGTGGTCCCGCGCGGACATCTCAAAGCACGGAGCTCCACACATCATAAGCACTACTGCTCCTATCACCTCTCCGCGCGGGGGTGGAGCCTATCGGCGACATATAGTCCTCTATCGTCATCTAGCCATTTTCGACATGGTTCATGTCACCTTTGTTTGCTCGTCCAAAGATAGGAGTGTGATTTCGAAGCTGCGAAGTGAAAAATGCAGAAGGAAGCACGAGCCACATTTTCTTCTTGCCTCAAAGAGTAACTTACCTTGAAGCTCCAAGTTCGCATTCAAAGAGGCTCGGACGTTCACGAGTAACTTCGTTCTGAAAGCGTTTGAGTACGTTTGCTGAAGCTGTGAATTAATACTCTTCAACCGATTGCGGATGAAACACCTGTAAATATCTCTCATATACAACATGTTGAATCTAGCGTGCTTTTACAAATTTCAAAATCCCCGCTGCATACTGCTGCGTGATGTAGAGTTGCCCTTTTTCTATTTCTGCTTGGAGACAGGCCGGTTGCGGAGAAGCCCGGCACTGACCAGAGTGAAATTAAAGGCTGTGTTCGCCATGTTCTGCCGCAACCTGTCTGCTCCAGTTCAGATTTCAAATTCGTTTACCTTAAGCAGTCTTTATCAAACTCCTAGACTCGATCAGGCCCTTATTGTTTGTAAACCAGCGACCATTGCCTGATTGGGCCCTTTTCAATAACGGTGAGAAAAGTCCTGAACAGAGATAGGGACAGTGATAATATAGCTCCAAGTTGTTATTGGCAGTGGTGGACGCAGGATTTCCATCTGGGGGGGGGGGGGGCGGCAAGAATTTTTTTTGAAGTGGAGGTGCGTGGCGTTAGCCACGCACTCCGAAAAATTTTTTGGAGTGCTTCTCAGAATTTTTGCGCGTCCGTAACCCCCTAAAATCTGGAAAAAGGGGGCGTGGCGTCAGCCACCTCCCGAAAAAAAATTTTTTTTGTAAGGCTAATTTGAATTTTCAAATAATTTTAAAATTATATCAGTTATCTACCATGCAAATGCGTTTAGGGCGTCCTTTGGACTGTATGGCAACAACTGCATCACCAAATTGTTGTAGGCTATAGATTTATTTGTAAGTTGACCCAGGGATGATTGATTGAATGGAGCTTTTCTTGCCGATTTGACGCCGAAGGGACTTTGTAGAATTCTGCGAAATTGTGAGGACTCGTTTTGAAAAATACTCCAAATCAACGCTTGCCGAGTCCTGTTCATTTCTTGTTGATTCGCGAGGATGCAGCTCTCAATTAGTCGAGATAGAGGAAGAAATGTGTTAGCTAGTGAATGTAGTCTTTCTGTTACAATCCTTCCGCAAAATCTCCCAGACCTTTTACTAGTCTCCACCGCTAGAACGATTCTAATGAGTATAGTTCTTACCAAGTCAGAAAATCTACGTCTCTATAAATTCGAAATATTTGATATACTTGATGTGATTATTCGTATAATTCTCTGTATTGCTCCTTTTTGATTTTTGGCAGTTCTCAGGTCTTACGAAAGTTTTCTGTTCGTTTCTGAAACCCCTGGAATTATTTGCACGTCTAATCGAGAGTATACAGTTAACAACGATGCGCGAACTCTGAGACAGTTTTCGCAACGCAGGCATGAACTTGCGCAATAGCTGTGAAAAAATTCTCGGTGAGCTTACTGTACCCCCCCCCCCTCCCACGCGATGTTAGCGCCAGCCCTACCAGGGGCGGTATTTATCAATCTCCTGTATAAGAAGGGAATCGTGTACAGTCTGTCCCAATCCCAACTAAGCCAATATTGGCAGGGCGGGAGTCCGAGTCGTCGCGAGGGTATTGTGTCACGGCTACGGCTAGCTAGTCTGCTGCTCTCTCCTCATTCTCTTCGCTCTCTGCGACAGCGCGCTATGCAGCGCAAACCCCCTGCCTTGCGAGCGCACAAACTCAGCTGACTGACGGTTCGGCCTGATCCCGACTGGGGCAGACTGTACAGTTAACAGTCCGTGGAGACGCGGGTACTGGCCCCGCGATACACGAAGCCAAGTTGGTGATCGGGCTTCTGTCTATGGATAATATGGTCCGATCTGGCAAGCTTCTCGACATGGCCAAATTTGCCAGATAGGACCTATTTAAAGATTGATGAAGTCACGAGATTTGCGCTCTCGCCTGTACCGGCACCCATTTAATAATGGCTCGAACAGCGAGGTAGATTGATATACCGCCCCAGAGCACCGAGCGGCTGTTTGGTCAAAGGATATCCAAAGCCCATTACGTGTATATACACCAACAGATTTTTGGACCTTTCCCAATCCTACAGATGTGTTAGCGCGCCGGGACCACATGGCCAGTGATCCCGTCGCCCTATGAGGTCCAACTGATTTGCATTACTTTTTATCTTCTCACTTCACTCCCAGCCAGAGTTTTAGCTGTTGAATTTGATTTCACTGAATATCCATTGTTTTTTCACTTTGATGCATATGAAGGTAAAAATCTTATATATAAAGCTGAATGTCTGTTTGTCTGTCTGTCTGTCTGTCTGTCTGTACGTATGTTCCGAATAGAAAATTCCATTTCTAAACCGATCGGGACCAAACTTGGCACACATACACTTCGGGCCCCGGCGGGTGTCATAGGCTACTTTTCGTATCGATTGATATCGATTTTATCGATTTTTTGCAAAATTTGAGCTACGGGGCTGGGAGTTGGCACAGGGGGGTAAGTGAGCATGGGGATTCCGAATACAATATTAGTTTTTAAAATCGTGCATTACTTTTATCGATTTTATCGACAAAAGTAATGCACGATGCAATGTAATGCAATGCACGGTTTCGAAAACTAATATTGTATTCGTAATCAGCATGCTCGTTTACACCCCTCTGCCAACTCCCAGCCCCGTAGCTAAAATTTTGCAAAAAATCGATAAAATCGACATCGATCGATAACGAAAAGTGGACTGTGACACCCGCCGGGGCCCGAAGGGTATGTGTGCCAAGTTTGGTCCGGATCGGTTAAGAAATGGAATTTTCTATTCGGAACATACGGCGGAGCCGGGTAAGCCAGCTAGTTAATAAAAAAATCAAACTAATTCAATCTGTTCTCAAACTTGAACATCACCTCCCGATAAACGGAAATGTAGGGAAGCCCTCTTATGAAGCCCTCCCATATTTCAAGCCCAGGCAAGCTTCAAATAAAATGTCTTAGAAGTCATACATTTACAAATGCTGTGCTATATAAGAAGGAAAAGGAAAGGAAGAGCGAAAGCATTGGTAAAGCTCGTAAGACGACACTATGACGGAGCGAGTTGTCCCTATGCTCCATGGTGTATTGTAGAACTGGAAAGGGATCAGGAACGCACCCCGTGTTAGTGTGAGTACGCGCAATGGGGCAGTTGTGTCAAAAATCTTTAACACTTGGTGCACTGCCATTCATGATTGTGTAGATCTCTTTTATTACCGTATTTGCAGGGGAAGATGACAACTACTCATACTCTGAGATTGTACGGCATTCGGAGTGCGTCGATGCTAGCTCGCCAACTTATGATTTGGGGTGAGTTTCACTGAAAGAAACTAAGGGTGCCTTCATACCGCGCCGACAGCCGCGCCGCCGCTGGCAGCCCGCAGCAACTTGTAGCAGCGCCAGCAGCCCGTAGCCGCAGCTGGCCGCTTTTGTCATAGAAGCTCAAAACCATCAAAACTCCTACTACTTTGAGTGCGCTCGCCCACACATTCCATCTTCCACGTTTCTTTCTTCTTATTTTGGCAAAAATATGGTTAACTACGAGAGGGAAACTGAGCACCAATAGGTTAACCAATCACGATATCCGGTATCTGGATGGTACTACAAGTGCCAGATTTTGATTAGAGCGCGATATCTACCCTCCTGCTACGGGACCGCCGGTACCCCAGCGAAGCTGTATTTCTTTGCTATTTCGCCGACATAATTGTTGGAGTCTTGTTTCGACTCTATTCCAGTTCTCTTCATCCTTGTAGTACCGTGTTGCTGTCAATAAAAGCTTTCTTATGGATCCTACTCGACTTCTTCGCCATCAGTATCCGGGCCCCAAAATTTCAAAGTCGTGAAATTCGCTATAAAACTGGGGGCTATTCGACATCTGGCCACGAATACCACACTCTATCTGCACAAAAATATCATTTGGTGGGGCTACATTAGGTATACTTAGGGCGGTCAAACGGCGCTATTCGGCTATCCGGGCCCCAGAAATTTTTGTCATGGATTTTGTTGAAACCTGGCCCAGGGGGAGGGGATGGTTATTCAGCCCGCTGATCACAGATATCGTCTGGTTTTGTACGCTAGCATCATTTTCTGGGGTTACGGTGGGTATACGGTAGGGGGTTAAATTCGTGGATTTGCCGAAACTTGGCGCAGAAGGGTAATGTAATTTGACATGCTGATCGGTCTTGTCTTACCTCACGAAGACGTTTTCTGTGTGGATATGGTAGGAATACGGTAGGGCATACGGTATGCAGGGAATTTTCTTCGTCTGTGTTTGCTTAGGCAAAGCCGCCGCAGAGTATGTGGCGTGTGGCGATGGTTCTGTATAAAAGGCATGAGGTAGGGCGATGAAAGGCATGACGATATGACGAGTCCGTCTACACCCAACGCCAAACGCAAAGTTTCGGGCAAATTTTACATTTTTTACCCCTACCGTAAATCTACAGTAACCTCACAAAAAGGCCTCATCATGCGAAAAGAGTATGATTTTCGTGATTGGCATGTCGAATAGCTCCCTAAGCCAAGTTCGAAATCCGTGATTTTGACTCCCTCCGCATATCCAATGTAACCCCGGAAAACGGTATCGCGCGAAACTAATTTGATATTTGGCATCAGCGGGTCGATTAACCCTCTCAGATCGAGTTTTAACAAAGTCCTCTGCTTTGAATGTCTGCGCTGTTACATTTTGTGGTTGAGATTTTTGCTTCGCTTATGTATCTTTGACGGTTTGATCATATGCTTGAGATGTTTTAGCAGTTCGGTGCCCCAACATGTTGACAAAGCCGTGTGTCACATTTGCAAAAAGTGCCATGTTTTCTGCCATGTGTTTTTCTCATATTTTCTGAGGCAGATTCGACAGATTCTGAGTGATCAGTCTAGCGATCAAATGTATAAGGAGGTGCCATAAAAAGCAAATCTGTTTTTGAGAGCCACAGGTCAGGGGTCAAACTGAGCGCGGCGGTTGCTTTGTTGCATACACTGAGAGATAATTTGTGTATGTCCCACAGGGACTCTCTTGTGCTGAAGTAGAACGGCCGCAGTCTAAAGGGGATGGGGAGTGGAGGAGACGACAGATACATTACAGATGCCATAAGTAACATTTCGACAGGAGTAAAGACGGGAGCTGACTCTTGCACTGCTTGACGTCGTCTTGTGGCATCGTGACTTTTAACCCGTATCTATTGTTAAGCCTTCCAATTAGGAGAATATCACGTCTATCGAGAAATTGGCGCTGCCGCAGCAGGAGTGGTAGATATCGCGCTGTTATTGAAATCCGGGACTTGTAGTGCCGTCTAGATACCGGATATCACCAATCATGGCAACAAGGCTTTATCAACAACGGACACAAGTATGATATATGAGATCGAATTGCGACAACAGGAAAGAAAAAACGTGGAAGATGAAAAGCGTGGGCGTTTGCACTTAAGATGGGAATTTGATGATTTTGCGCTTCTATGACAAAAGCGGCCAGTGGCGACTATGGGCTGCTGGCGGCTGCTGTGGGCTGTTAGGGGTTGCTGCGGCTGCTGTGGGCTGCTACGGACTACAAGCGGCGGCTGTGGGCGCGGTATGAAGGATCCTACCGAGGGCTGAATGGGACGCGTATTACTTACAATCTGTGCAGTCGCGCATCTCTTTGAATTTACCCGTGTACGCTATACGCTATACGCCCTCTGGTGCGCTTACTTAGGATCTCCAAACTCTTCATATAAGCCCAAGACCTTCAATCTACTAGCCTTTTGTCTTTCATGTACATACAGTTATTACCATGTCGTCACCTTAATCTGTGGACATTGAGTGGATCCGTTCCGGATTCCGCTGGACATTTTGCACCCTTATTCTAGGAAATCTTCAAAATTTACTGTAATCAAAAAGTACACAAGCCCAGGAAAAGACCTGAAAAGCGGTCGTCTCATAGAAAGTCCCCGTGTTCAACGAAACTCGAGGTGGGAAGTACAATATCTAGTATATCTATAGAGTGTTATAAAAATTGTGCACATTCTGCGATCGCCAATAACTCTCCTTTGAAGTTTTTTGCCGATTCTTAAGTACCAACTTGTAGAACTAGCTTCAACTCAGAATTACAGTATGGAAAGTAGGACGACTACGGTAAGAATTTTGAAGAAATTATCAGCCCATCAAGAGTCGCCTTCTTCAGATAGGAAACCAAAGCCAAAAAATTCTATACTAAAGCTAATCAAAGTTTGGATTGAAATATGAAATTTGCACGTCAGAGTTATGCTTCTTTCATGAGTTTTTCCACGTGAACCCTAACAACATCATTTCCAGTGTTCTTCAGAATGTGGTTACACTACTCAACTCAGACGACATGTAAAAAGCTGTGTGATGTAAAGTATATTGTAATATTGCAGTAATGAAGATGAAGATTCGCTCTATAATTAGATCTAAGTTGAAGCAAGTTCCACAAATGGTACTCAAAGATTGGGGAAACATTGGAGCCAAAAAAGTTATTAAAGCTTATTTTGAGACACTCTGTATGCAATGTTCAGATAAATTAGCACCTGGATTGTCGAAGCGTAGTGCGAGTTGAAGGCACCGTCCACCGAAATTTTCGATTTCGAGTTTTGAGTTTTCGACCTCTTGCGCACGCTGAGTCCAAACCCAGGCCTATTGAACGAAAATCTCAAATTTCTTAATATTATCTCAATCTTATCTTAATATTACGCTGGGGACAATTACTCACAGTCATTCAACCATCATGAGTGGTTGTCCCCAGCGTCAGGCTGCCTATCCAAAGGATAGCAAGCGATAAGCCGGTTGAAGAAGTCAAATAGTCGCATCGGTACGCTTTTTATGTCTCAAAATAATCGTCAAATCATAGTTGGGACGTTCCGCAAAAGAGTCGCGCACTCGTACCTGACGAATACGAAGAGTGAACGGCAATTACTCTCTTAACAAGAACGAAAACGACCGAAGAATTTAGGTAATTATAAGTCCAAGCAGCGACTCAGACTCTCAGAAAAGCTTCGACTGGCCACCGTTAACGTGGGTTCTCTAACGACACGACACCGAGAATTAGCGGATCTACTCAGACGATGTAAAGTGGACATTGCATGTATTCAGGAGACGAATTGGAAAGGTGAAAAATCACACAATAGGAAATGGATACAAACTCCTATACAATGGAACGAGTAACAGCAGGAATGGCGTCGGAATTGTCGTCTCTGAAGAGTTGAGGAACAGAACTGACGTGATTTGAGTGAATGACCGAATTATGAGCGTTAGGATAGAGAATGGGAAAAGAACTTTGCGAATCATTACTGCCTATGCACCACAAACAGGATGCGGTGAGGTTGAGAAGGATATATTTTGGCAAAAGCTTGACGATCGCATCAATCTCATGCCTCCAGAGGACATATTCTCAGATAATCGCCGGGGCAGGCGGCCATGCGATTTATGGGCGGGCGGGCACCGGAAAAATAGTTCGCTGTTTCTTTGCGGTCCCCTTGCAGGTATTTGGAAGGATTTTAGCGAAATTCTAAACGAATGCTTGGAGAACAATCGCGGTTTCCCTATAGATTAGCTGCGGCGCAGTGGCCGCGTTCTCGCGGACTTTCCGCGAGAATATGCAAAATTTTCGAGGGCCGCAGGGTCCTTTGTCGAGGACCGCGCAGCCCCCAGGTACTTTCCGCTGAGAGAAGATACCTCAAACTTGAGTAATTAGACCATCGGTGACACCTCTGCCACAGGGAGTCTTACCTGTGCTCGGCATATGCTCGAAACTGCTTAAGAAGAGTCCGAGCGCTCACTGAAAGTTTGGCCAACTCTCGCTGAAAGAAGTTATTTGCCGAGCGCTTGCAGAAAATGCTGTATTGCTGCCCGCTGGCAGAATATGCGACCGTAAAGGAAGTGCCGCCAGCTGAAGGTTTGGCCACTCCCCAAAATTATGTTGACCGCTTGCAAAAAAGCGCGAGTTTGCGGACCGCCTGCCCCCGGATTATCTGAGTTGTTGATCGAAGCCGATGACGGCCACGTTGGGGACAACGAAGTGATGCAGGAAAGTGTCATGGAAACCACGGGTACGGATTACGCAATAACGAAGGGGAACGCATTCTTGAGTTTGCTAGGACTCACGAGTTAGTACTAGTAAACACCTACTTCAAAAAGAGAAGCAGTCACTTGATAACGTATTTCAGTAGAGGCAGAAATCGCAGATAGACTTTTGGGCAGTAAGACAAAATGAGCTCAAATATGTGAAAGACAGCAAAGTCATTCCGGGCGAGAGCTGCCTACCTCAGCACAGGCCTTTGCTGATGGGCCTGAATATCCCAATCGAAAGGCGCAAAAAGACA